CCCATCTCAAAACAATGTAATTAACTGTGCTACTATAAAACAAAATTCAATCGGGCTTATTAGGTAACAGTTGCAAAATAATTAATTGTGCGATTGATCACGCGAGTGATTGTTGGCGCCGATCGGCGCGGGTAACGGGGTTCGGTTCCCGCGGGCGAGCGTACGCTGTTATGTTGTAACGATGTGTCGATGCGATAATGCTGATATTTTTTAAGATAATGAGCGCAATTACCTGTGTTTCCTGTATGTCAAAATTGAATGCACTTATTAGGCAAGGCTTAAAAACATTTCACTAGATATTACTCTATACGATTAACAGCATAAGTTCACTAATCGGGTAGATTTTAAGCAAAACTGGTTTCTTTATACATAATCAAGTAAAAGGAAACTCATGTTTCAGCAAAAACGCATACAGCACTAACTGCGTAGCCATCAAAGACTAGTTTAGGCAAAATTATTATGAAATTTGTAAAGGTCTTCACTAAAGTGACCATCACCCATTATTCTCGGCTTATTGTTGTCAATTGCTGAAAATAGTTCCACTGAACTAAAGCGGAAGCAATTTGAAGTGGCATGCACGCATTTCTAGAGTTGGAATTGAGCGAATTCAGGGGTAGAATTGGATGAGTAAGTGCAAAATCACTCCTTATTGATGAAGTTTTATATTTTTTGTCGTTGATATTGGACGTACACTAAAAACTAATTTAAAGGGGTAAAATCCTTCGTGTAGCTTGTAATTTGAACACATTCTTAATCCATAAAACTAGGAAAGACATAAAGTATACAGTTGTTTGTACACCACCTGCGCCAATTTATAAATCTGCTTTACTGACAGACGATTGACAGTTCTGCCGCGTTAGAAAGTTATTTTATACACAGACATCTCCAACCAGTAATATGGTCTCCGTGTATCTGCCGCCCAAGGGCATGTTCCTTATGTTCAGTGGATGAAATTCATTACATGATAAAGAGGAAGAGCATGGATGTCAAATATAAATCCGCGTAGAGCGCTGACTATTGTCATTGCGCTTTGTTTTTGCGACGCTAATGCCCGTTTTCACCATCAATCCCTAATATTTAAGTGACCCCTTTGTAAACAATTCTGTTATGTGTTACCATAAGGGTTACTTAAAAATTAGGGATTGATGGTGAAAACGGGCACAAGTTGTGTAGGCGCATGCGTCGGATTTACATCAAAAGTTTAGTTTTATTGTAGAGATAGATATCGATGAATTAATAGCGGTTAAGGAACCGTTCCCGAGTAACGGCTCGCGATTGACGGGTCCCGCGGGCGGTCGTGACGGATCCTACTCGCGCTAACTTGATAATGACGCCATTCAATGTAACTGCTATCACTTAGCTCGAGGATTCCCATCTTACAAAACTGGATACAATGCTGAAGTGAAATATTATTTAGAGACCTACCTCAGTCTCTGCCAAAATGGTAGAGATAAAAAGGAAGTTGCACTAAAAATCGTAGTTGATAAATTCTTTGTATTAAAAAGTGCGTAACATTTTTTTCTTTGTTTCAGGGTTCAAATGTGCTGGTATGAGACCAAGTGGACTGAGCGTCGCAAGATGATCCCAGCAGTGACGTCGTTATGACCAGCGCAATGGCTCCGCGGATATTGATAGTGCTGTTGGCTATAGTCTTCGCGAGGAGAGCAATATGTAAGTGGAAACTTTCTTGCAACATTCAAAGTTAGTTAACAATTTACTTTAACCAGCCAGAAGACAAAAACTCTAACATGAAATTGTATAATACTGCGACAGTGACAAGATTTTTATTTCCGAAACGTGTACCTACAAACTCATCTAATAGGCAGCAGCACTCGTACTACGAGTAAGTTGGTTGGCTTAAACGTTACATTTTTTGTATGACAAATTAATAACAGTACAAGCACCTGTCTGCACTTATTCACGTACACACAAAATGGGGAATTATGTTCAATTATTATAGAGTTCCGTTGTCATAAGCCGACCGTGAACTTAATTATTTCTGTAAGATTTTTTAAATATGACTTGGCCAAAACAGTGCAAAATTAAACACAAATTATACCTATCAAGTTTTATAAACGACTTATTTTCTTGAAGAAGAAAAAAAAATGATGACTTAGGTCGTCAATCATCATAGATAATTTGTGTTTCAAAATCGTTAGTTTGATTTGGATGTAAGAAAAAGTATTATGTAAATATTTCACTACAAAATATAAACATAACACTGTGTAATAGTAGGTACATCCTTATAAAAGTGATAAAATACGCAATATAACCCAATTCCTGAACGCACGTACTGACAATTGTTCGCGGCGGCATTATTAGTCCACTAAAAAGCGTTTAGTGTCATTTGAACCGACTAATTATGGTCAAGAGTTCACTAGATTTGCTTTCCCAACTTTCACCGGAACCATTGTATCGAGATTAAAATACCGATTCGTCTAAAGATAATCCTTTGTGTGATGTATGAGAACTGTGCGTGATGAGATATGATAGTCGTGGAAAAATTCGTATGACCACGTCTGCTTCAGTTTTTGTTTGACTGCACTTTTGTTTTCGTTGAATCTATAAATAAAGTGAGAATGTGTTTAGTTTTTCGTCCCATTGTGTTTTGGTATTTTTTCAGAATTAACATTAAAAAGTTTAGCTTAAAGTTTTACATCAATCAAGATTGCTATCTTTAGAATTTTAATTAATTTTAGCTGAGCGTGAGATGATTTCTTAAATTTTGTTTCATTGAAATGTTAAGTTTACTTATACCTACTTGTTTATTTTATAGCTGTGTTTTTAATATTATTTATAAAGAAAATCTACATGCGGGCAGCTTTGTTCGCGTGGTTTGTAGACTTAGTAGAGTTAGACAAGTATAACATCTATAAACTGCAACTTAGTTCTTTATATTAAAAGTAAACAAAGACTGGTAAAGGTCGCGGGAAGAGCCTGGATGCGGGCAGCGCAGGACCGTTCATTGTGGAAAACCTTGGGGGAGGCCTTTGTCCAGCAGTGGACGTCATTTGGCTGAAACGAACGAAACAAAGACTATGCTCAGTCAACATACGACACAGTTTAACCACATTCAGAGCGCAACCAGATCATATCAATGTCTTATCTGCACTTTCCATACGTTACAAGTTAAAAGTTGCTCAGATTAACATATGAACGTTAACTTAGAGCACAATAATATATGGGAGTGATGAGTGGCCATCATGTTACAGTTATTATGCAAACTGACGTAAAGTTCTGTTTGTTTTAGTATCGCATTAGCGTCAGTCACGGCTGTAGATGATGAACAGCTACGGTTATCTAATGCATCTTAACGGCTCAGTGGTTGAACTACCGACTTTGAGATGTGACTAGTTTGATTGTAGAGCCAAGCAAGTTTGTTGTTTTAGAATAACTAGTAACACAGATATTAAATGGGACTATTTATTGAAGACATTTTTAATGTTACCCAAGTTACTATTTGAACAAGAACTCTATTTTTTATTTATTTTTGTGTTTACCAGTTGTTTAATCACTGGGATCGGTTTATAACTATGATTAGCATAATGTTACAATTCGACTTATAGTTCTGCATGTAATTATAAGAACTCTTGCGTAAAAAATAATTTTTCCCACGAGAATGAAATGAAAAAGTTAACTTGAACATATAATTTTGAATGTGTAACATGGCAAATATGGATAAATCTCTTGTTCGTGCATCACGTATTCACGAAAATTAAAAAATCATGTGTTGTTTATCTTACTTTGGGAGTAGAACTAGACATTCTCGAAACTTGAAACATAGATGAAGCTTTAAGACAAACTTAATGAAAGCTTTTTCTAAGCATCAAAGCAAAAGTGCTTTAAAAATTCCCAAGCAAGTTGTACAAGATGTTTATAGTATTAGTCAACTGTTATCTGAGACATTCTTATTTAAATGTTCTGAAAACGAAACGAAAACTAAATAAAGTAAAATCTACGGAGAAACAAGAAATAAAGTTTTGTTTGAAGTGAAGTTTTTATAAGAGGTGGGCAAATCCAATAACACCGACTTAATATTCACTATTTGTCGTTTGGTATTTTTACTGAACATGAAAAAGAAACAGAGTAATGTGTAGGTAACTTTGTCCTACAATGGTTTGCATTAGTAAACCTACACAAACTCGGCGATACTCGATTAAGACACTCAGCAAGCATTACAGTTTTCAACATCGGCGCTGGCGGAAACGCGTTATGAATCAAATAATAAAAAGAAATCGGAATACACACGGCCATTTCTGTATTGTGCCTAAGTAAGTCACATCTCACGACCGACTTATTGCTATTACTGCCGATTTACTGTCTGCCTCGACCTTAGCACGGGGGGTTAAGATTGACAATCGAATGTCGTTGCGGGAGGTGTAAGCTAGCCCAGTTTAGTCTATGCTGTAATGGCGATGACACTGACTCTTTCTTCGGCTAATTAATTTGCGCGGGTTAGAGAAATCCATGGGAGCTGTCGTTTGGACTGTTTTTTGGGTTCCGCTTGATGATTTGTGTGTCTACGATGCAGATATGTGACTGTAAAAACATTCCATACACGTCTCTCTCATTTAAGTGTACCTTTAAGCCCAATAACTTTGAAGGTGGTAATAGGTTTCAGCTTGCGATCACACTTGGTTTCAGCTTGCCATGGTAATGCTGATCTAGGTCGATTCTAGACTCATACAATCATTTCAGGTAATTTAGATTATTTATGATTTAAAAAAACATAACACGTTGCTTGCAATTTAAGCTCTTGTGACCCAACTTGGTAATTATTTCATTAATGAGAAAACTCAGTGAAAAAACTTCATGCCCTTGTCGGTTACGACTTACACCATAAGTTTGTAGTTAAGTGGTTTTAGCAAAACAAAATAAGTAGGTATACTCATTACTTTTTATGCGGAACTCACTGGCGTTATTGCACTAATCTGGAGGTCAAACTTGCACAAACCGTCATTGGTTTCGGTCGAAGGAAAAGTGGTTCTTTTCATCTCGCCCTACGCCTGATAGACATAAGGGTCATAATGATAATCTACTTTTAAAACCAGCTACGGCTTCGTGGATGTTAATTTTACGGCCCTTAATTAGTCCAGTCACAGTGGTGTTGAAACCTCAGTTGAATATCAATCAATGACTTAAGTTTTGTATTTTAAAACGGTGATGTTATGTATGTGATGAATATCTTGGTGTGAATAAATTGAAAGCAAACCTTTTACATCTACTTACCTTACATTTTTGAGAATTTAACTTTTAATTTTCATGTAATACGTAACTACGAGTACATTGGCTATATGCGTTGAGTCGCTACTCTGACTTGGATGTTCGGACATTATCGTAGACTTCTTGAAAACATGCGAGTTCCTTGAAGCAGTGCCTATTTAAACTTTGACGATAATGATACTTAATCTAAAACTTATATCTAAGTATCATAAAATATAGTTATTTTAAATGAAACCAAAACTAAGGTAAAATCACTTAATCAGTCTTGCATTATACAGGAAAATATAGCAATACGCTAATAGCTCCAGTAGTTACAGCTGACTTTAGGTGGTTTTTCATAACCCAGGCTCAGGGTGTGTTTAAATTGCCGCCCACAGACAGGCCGCCGCATTTTGCAACTAGTCTAGATAGATATAAACACTGATTGGACTGGTGTGCTAATGTGTATCCTAGAACTTAATTATAGGCTTGATTTATAACTATCACATTATAATTTCTTGGAAATATGTAAACTACCGAAATAGGTTAATAGGTTTCGAAATAAATAAACGTTTTTATTGACTGGATAAACGTATTACCAAAGCATAAACAACATAGATGTAAACTAACGATCCTCTTTACTAGCTCCATGTTATTGGTTTTCACCTATTTCAATATGGCGTATGTCACCAGTAAATGAAGGAGCATCCACAATTACATTAAGCGCTTTCTTTAACAATAAATTATCATTTTTAACCCGATACGTAAGCGCGAAAGTGTCGTTCCATTGAAAGAAACTCTAATTTCAATATTGCCTTTTAGCTCGCAGCTTAACCACTACTTTCATCTAATTTAACAGTATAATCTGAGAATTACCCAGGCAAGTGGCTACCTGATGCAACTTCCTACCCCTGATAATGTTTTCAAACTTTATGTCTATGGTCTTAGGCGTAAATTCCCAGTAGGTATCTCTCTATGGAATAGACTAATTGATTTTGTGCAGAATATCTACATAGTATTTTGTAAATCTCAATAGTTTTATTTACGAGTCAGACAAAAGCCTGTATAATATAATCAATAAATTCATGTTTCATCATCACACTGGAAACAAACACCCACAGCAAGGCAAATACACGCACTAAACACATTCTCCTCACTCACTACATTACGCACATAGGTACTCATTAACGAACACCTTTACACAATACTACCTACATACTACTCGTTTATCTTTTTAGAAAAAAACAAACGCAATCACATGCAATGTTTTACCTTAGGTACTAATAAGAGTTTACTCGTCGCTTTACGGTTACATAAATCCAACAATATTTAGTCGGAGTAGAGTACATGGACAAATAGTTAATTTTAATATTTATAATCTTGGGCACTATCACTATTATTTACTAGTGTGATCTTGTCCTGCTGATGCTCTACCATTGCCATAGGATAGATATTTTCTATGTATAATATGTATTTATTATTGGTTTTTGGGCCTTTATTTGCGCCAACTCGACCAGGTTTGATCTATTGTGGCAGCCCTTGTCTTTAAAGTTCACTGCTTAGTCCCGTTGAGTCTATAAATTTCCAGATTCTTTGGAGCGTGATATCTGCTATCTCATCCGGGTGCATGATGTGTCGCCCGAGATGGATACTTCTTTTGCTCATAAGCGGGAAGCATGAGCAAAGAACATGCATGGCCGTTTCTTCTTCTGTATGGCAGAATCTGCACAGAGTTTCCTCGGTCATGTTCATGTTCGATTTATGTTTGTTTAGTTTGCAGTGGCCGGTCAGTATTCTAGTCACTGCACAGGCTTTGTATCTTTTGAACTTTAGCAGTTCCTTAGTTACTTTATTGCTATATCCCTGAATGAGTGCTTTTGAGTGTTTTTGTCCCGATGTAGACTTCCACCACTCAATAGCCTCTTGTTTGCAGAGGGCGGTTAGTAGCGTGGTGGCTCGTTGTTTGGTAATGCCACAGAACGGTTCTACGCCGATTTGAGGGTTATCGGCTCCATCTCTGGCGAGTTCATCTGCTACTTCGTTTCCTTCTATATTCGAATGTCCTGGTACCCATGTAAGCGTTACTTTGTTGGTATTTCCCAGTGCATTCAGTGTCTCGGTGCATGTTTGCACCAATTTTGACGTGTATTCGAAGGATGTTAAGGCCAGCAGTGCTGCTTGGCTGTCTGAGTTGATGTAGATGTGTTGATCCTGGAGCTTCCTTTCCAAGTTTATCTCTGCACATTTGTTTATGGCAAAGACCTCGGCTTGGAAGATTGAGGCTTCAGTCCCCATGTTTAGGCTAACTTTGAGCTTAGGCCTCTCTCCGTAGATCCCGCAACCTACATTATTTTCCTTTTTGGATCCGTCCGTGTACCAGACGTGACTACCTTCCTTAAATGACATTTGGCCTTCTAGCCATTTGTCTCTAGGAGGTATGTTTACGGAATATAGTTTGGTGAAGTTACATTCCGTATGCATGTCGTCACTGGGCATGCACAGAAGTTTGTTTTCAAGTACTGATTCCTTGAGTCTTATCAGATTTTGAGAAGCCCATCTGACTTTCGTGCGGGTGCAGATTCTATATGTGCTCTGCTTGGCTTCTTTTTGCACATGCATATGCAGTGGTATAAGATCCAGCAGAGCATTTAATGCAGCCCCTGGTGTCGTTGATAGTGCTCCGGTTGCTGTGATGCAGGCTAGCCGTTGTAGGCTGCTCAGTTTCTGTATTGTTGTCACTTGGTTGACCTTGCTGCACCAGACGGCAGAGGCATAGGTTATTATCGGTCTCACGACCGCTGTGTACAGCCATAGGGCGATTGCGGGTTTTAGTCCCCATCTTGACCCTGCCATTCGACAACAACTCCACAGAGCCATTTTGGCTTTTTGAATGATGTTGTTTAGGTGCGAATTCCAAGTAAGCTTTTGGTCAAAAGTTACCCCTAGATACTTGGTTTCGCTTGAGAAAGGAAGAGTTTTTCCGTTTAATTTCAGATTTACCAGTTTTTCCAGTTTTCTCTTCCTCGTGAATGGTATTATCACTGTTTTATCCGCATTAATAGATAATTCGTTTTCTCTACACCACCTACTTATGGTGTTGAGAGCGCCTTGCATTAGACTTGAAATTGTGCTCAGGCAGGGACCTCTGATGATAACCACTAGGTCATCAGCATAGCCTTGAGTATCATAGTCTTTTTCTGCCATTTTAGCAAGAAGTTGATCTACTGCTAGTGTCCATAAAAGTGGGGATAGTACGCCTCCTTGTGGACATCCTCTTGTGGCAAGAAATTCAAGCTTTGCAGCATTGAGGGTTATGTTTACTACTCGGTTGGAGAGCATGTTTTTTACCCATCTGATGGTGCTTATATCAATCCCTTTTGCCTCCATTCCTTTTAGAATGGTTTCTATAGGGGTGTTGTCAAATGCACCTTCAACATCGAGAAAAGCACATAGGGCCGTTTGCTTATCCTCTAGGGATTTTTGCACCTTATCGACCAGATCGAGCAGGGCTGTTTCAGTAGATTTTCCCTTTTGGTATGCATGTTGGTTGATGCTTAGTGGTCTTTTCACTAAGTATTTGGCTCTAATGTGCTGGTCTATTATCCTTTCCATGGCCTTCATCAGGAAGGATGTTAGACTTATGGGTCTGAAGGATTTGGGTTGTGAGTAGTCCCTTTTCCCCGTTTTGGGTATAAAACGAACTTTGACCCAATTCCATGGTTCTGGTATAATACCCCAGGCGTAACTTGCTCTGAATATTTTTACCAGATGCGGGAGAAGTAAGTTATTACCTTTTTGTAGAAGAGCAGGAAAGATGCCATCTTCTCCCGCTGATTTAAATGGTTTAAACTTTTCCAAAGCCCATCTAATCTGGTTAGGCCTAAAGATATTGGAGGCCTTATTCCAGTCTGAGCATTTAGCCCTATGGAGTTCATCATTCCTTTGGGTATTGCTTTGTGTATTGATTTGGTACGAACCCGGAAAGTGTGAAGACCTAAGGAGATCCAGAGTCTCCATCTCGGTGTTCGTAAATGAGTTATCTGGCTTCTTTAGTAGTCCAAGATAGTTGTTTGGGGTCTTAGCGAGGATTTTGTGAATTCTTGCTCCTTTGTTAGTTTGTGCAATTTCTTCACAGAAGCGTCGCCAAGAGGCTCTTTTAGCTTTTCTGATTTGTTTGTTATATTCTGTTAGGGCCTTTCCGTACTTGTCCCAGTCGCACGGTTTGGCACGGTTGAATATACGACGTGTGATGGCTCTGAGCTTTTCTAGCTTCTTGTTCCACCACATTGGTGATTTGTTAGATTTTACTTCTTTTTCGGGGCAGCTTCGTTCGTAGGCATTGATTATGCCATTATTGAGCATTTTGACCGCGGCATTAAGAGAGTCCGGTGTTTTGATAGTTATGGGTATATCCTTTAGATTCTCACTGAGCAGGGTTATATACATATCCCAGGAGGTGTCTTTTGGATTTCTTACTCTTGGATATTGAGCTTCTACCAGCCCTGAAATATCAAAACGTATATGTCTATGATCAGACATTGAGTTCTCGCTGCTGACGTGCCATTTTGTTATACATTTTGACACATTTTCTGTTGCGAATGTTATATCTATTACTTCCTGTCTGGTTTTTGTTACGAATGTTGGCGTGTGAAAGATAAAACAATACTTACCTAATCAAATACTTGGCTTCGCAATGTCTGCAAGCTGTGAACAGCGACTGTATTTTGGCGATTTTCTTGTTCACTGAGGCGTGACCTGAAATAATATGACATGGTTTTGCCACTTTAAAATTATGTGGGTAGTTTGTAAAAATATTTGGTTTTCCGTTCGCATTACTTTTTACAAAATAAGTTAAGTTAAGATTGTGTCACTAGGAACTCCCTAATGAACATGTTACCAACTGCTATCTTCTCCGCGAGGCGTCGATCTAGGATATATTGAGTGGCTAGATCACAGTGTAGACGGCCTATCTTCTCAGCGAGTCGTCGGTCTATAGTAAATTTAATTGTTATGGTGTTTTTTGTTTGTTTACTCTTTTATGATTGCCTTGTTTTTCTTCTTCTCTTCCTGTACATTGCGTCCCCCTGCTGACAACAGAGGGCCCCCGCTGAAAATCAGTTTCGAGACAAGCCCTGGCGCGGTCTTGATGTATGCTGAGCGGGTGCCTTTTTGTCAGAGGGGCACAAGCAGCTATCTGTCCATTTGTGTATCTCTTTCATTATGTACCTATGTCTTTCCTGCTTGTATGTCTTTCTTTTAAATAAAACCTATTCTATTCTATAGTCTATCGAGCTAGTCTCAGTGCACTCACCAGTAAGCTCAGCCACGTCCTTCAACGCGCGCAGCACGCGGCGGCACCGCAGCGGCGGCGGCGCGAACATGGTGCGTTGCGTCGCGCGCGCGCTCTGCGCAGCCGAGCCCAGGTCGCCGCACTTCTGCGCTGCGCTCTTGATTTGGGCCAGCGAGCGGCCTGTGCACTGCGCTACGGCCTTCATTAGGTATGTTTCTGCTATGCCTGGAGTAACAATATTATTATCAGGAATGGATGCTAAGCACTAGTCTATAATCACAGATATTAACGAAACAGAAGTGCAATTCTATTATCTCTAAAAACATTTAACTTTCTTAATCAGAGGTGGAATTGTGTAAAGCAATCGTAATCATTTGACAGCTCAACGTACGATAAAGTCAGTTAAACAAAGTGTTTGACAGAATAATATTGTACGTTATAAACTGTCAAATGATAACGATTGCTTTACACAATTCCACCTCAGGTCTATAATGAAAAGAAACAGCGTGACAGTTTGCAGGACATTCTTCTCAGGTCGACGGATCGATATTTAGTGGTTGTCTCTTCGTTGAGCTGCACGTAGTAAACTCTGTCAAGCGTTCGTCTGTCCTTGATGTTCGTGTCCATCGAGTACAATATAATAAGTACGAACCTATTACCAGCGTGCTCAGATATGGCACCTGGCTGGTGACATCCAAGCCAGTGCCAGATATGGCACCTGGCCGCGCGATCAGCACGCGTACAATAAAATAAGCACGAACCTAGCTCCAAGCTGTGGTAAGCCGGCGCGAGCTGGTTGAGGCACAGGTAGACACACGGCAGCAGGTCCTCGGGCGACAGCGCCAGCAGCGAGCGGAAGAAGTTGCTGAGGATCTCCACCATCTTCAGCCGAGCTGATGTGCCTTCAATGGCCTCGAGTGTCCGCGACAGTGTCAGATATGGCACCTGGCTGGTATCATCTGAGCCAGTGCCAGATACGCCACCTTCTACCCGGGTCCTTGACGGGGTACAATATAATAAGTACGAACCTAGCTCCAAGCTGTGATATGCCGGCGCGAGCTGGTTGAGGCACAGGTAGACACACGGCAGCAGGTCCTCGGGCGACAGCGCCAGCAGCGAGCGGAAGAAGTTGCTGAGGATCTCCACCATCTTCAGCCGAGCTGATGTGCCTTCAATGGCCTCGAGTGTCCGCAACAGTGTCAGATATGGCACCTGGCTGGTATCATCTGAGCCAGTGCCAGATACGCCACCTTCTACCCGGGTCCTTGACGGGGTACAATATAATAAGTACAAACCTAGCTCCAAACTGTGATATGCCGGCGCGAGCTGGTTGAGGCACAGGTAGACACACGGCAGCAGGTCCTCGGGCGACAGCGCCAGCAGCGAGCGGAAGAAGTTGCTGAGGATCTCCACCATCTTCAGCCGAGCTGATGTGCCTTCAATGGCCTCGAGTGTCCGCAACAGTGTCAGATATGGCACCTGGCTGGTATCATCTGAGCCAGTGCCAGATACGCCACCTTCTACCCGGGTCCTTGACGGGGTACAATATAATAAGTACAAACCTAGCTCCAAACTGTGATATGCCGGCGCGAGCTGGTTGAGGCACAGGTAGACACACGGCAGCAGGTCCTCGGGCGACAGCGCCAGCAGCGAGCGGAAGAAGTTGCTGAGGATCTCCACCATCTTCAGCCGAGCTGATGTGCCTTCAATGGCCTCGAGTGTCCGCAACAGTGCCTGATATGGCACCTGACTGGTATCATCCGAGCCAGTGCCAGATACGGCACCTCCTACCCGGGTCCTTGACGGGGTACAATATAATAAGTACGAACCTAGCTCCAAGCTGTGATATGCCGGTGCGAGCTGGTTGAGGCACAGGTAGACACACGGCAGCAGGTCTTCGGGTGACAGCGCCAGCAGCGAGCGAAAGAAGTTGCTGAGGATCTCCACCATCTTCAGCCGCGCCGACGTGCCCTCAATGGCCTCGAGTGTCCGCGCCAGTGCCAGATACGGCACCTCCTGGCCGCGCGACCAGCACGCGTCCTTGATCGGGTGGTACTTGGACTTGGCCGGGTTGTATTCTGTTTCTGTGTAAAAAGAGGATGTTGTGGAAATCTATACTAATATTATAAAGAGGTAAAGTTTGTGTGTTTGTTTGTATATTTGTTAAATTGTAAGGGGTAATCTCGGGATCTACTGAACAGATTTTAAAATTCATTCACAAATAGAAAGGCCACATTATTGCTGCATGTCATAGGTATAAAAAACGGAAAAATTCCACTCGGGCGACTCAATTTTTTATGAAGGTGTTATATTTACCTGGAACTACTTTATCCTCCTTTTTCTCATTGTCTGTACTTTCTGTCTTACTAACTGGACTTACACTTTCCTCCTTCTTACAATCAGGGCTAACACTCTCCTCCTTTTTAATTTCTTTTTCACTTTTGACAGTTGGGGAAGTCACCTCTTCTTTAACCTTGAGTTCAGATGTCGGAGAACTTTTCCGTTTGTTAGTTTCCTTCTTCTGTAACGGTGATAAGTCCACTTTGGCTTTTGGCTTTTTGCTTTTAGGAGAGTTGTATGTTTTTGGTGGTCCAGCACTCTTTTCTACTTTCATCGGTGAGGACTTCGGAGATGGTCCTGTCTCACTGCCAGAGCTCTCAATCCTTAGCCTTTTTGATTTCCTTCTCTGTGAAATTTATATCAATTTAGTTTTAAAAAGTGTAACAATCATTTATAGCATTCTTAGTAAGTAGAAGTAAAGTATTATAATACTTATAATTATATTTTTATTTTATTTATGTTATTCTAGGTATAGGATAATACTGTACTTTCATCAAAATCCGTTCACTAGTTTATGCGTGAAAGAGTAACAAATGTCCATCCAGACATCCAAACTTTCGCATTTATATATTAGTAGGATAGGAGGATACATGAACAATAAAGGAAATCACCTTATCAGAAGGAGGTGAAGCCTCTTCACTTGCCGAGCCACTGCTGTTACTCTCTAGCCGTTGTCTTTTGGAGGACCTCTGTAAATTAACAAGCAACAATGAGCCGAGTACATCCTTCTAGATTAGATAAGCATTGGACATGGAGCAGGTATGTATAGCTTGAAGTCATTTTAAAATCTAGTGTACAGACCTTTTCCTTTCCATTAGACGGTGGTGATGTTTGATCACTATTAGAGTCTGTCTCCTCCTGAGTAATGAGAAAATGTATTGCTTTTTTTCAATCAAAAACAAAGATTATAACCTATCCAACCAATTGGAAAATGGGAACAGAAATTTAATACTCACATCATGTATAACTTCCTGTTCTAATTTAACAGGTTTCTTTGGAGCAGAGGAGAAGAAACACATTATGGTTTTTTGAGCCATGATCCTATTTCTTCCATAAAAATAATTGTTTGAAATGGAAACCTGTGAGATAACTTTTCTTGTTACCGGCAAATGTGTACAGTTAACTAAAAATCTAAATTGCACGATTAACTTACTGAAACTTAACATACGTAATTATATGAATTTCATGGTTTTAGTAACTTATTTCAATAAATACGAGGCAAAATACCAATTTTAGAAACGCAATCTTTTGGTGGTTATTCATTTATCTGTCAAATTTGCCATTTTGGCGCGCAGACCGCAGTAGACTGTCATTAGTGCTGAGCTTCGATCTTCGATTTACTTTCCGAATGAATACCGATTCGATTCCTGTTTACCGGTATTTTGTGATTGTGATTAAGATGCAGAGCAACACTAAGGAACACATTCGGATACATGCATTTCGTAAAGCATATAAGTTGCATAAAAGTAAAGGGCCATTATAGGACTAAAACAAATTTTAGTTCTCAACAAACAAAACCTTTGAAATAATCATATTTTTTCAGTAATTGTGGTATTCTTCTGTCTTCATATCACTAGCTTTCTTATTGTGTCATTTGAATATTGAGTATCCGAATTTTCAGTTGCAACTTCCTACCAATTGCATATCTTTTTATTTAATATTATATTAAAATCTTGATATTTTACTATCAATTCAAATATTTAATTAATTTAAAATTATGATCTTATATGACTTGTGTTATTTAATTCACATTTTCTGATTCTTAACGTTAAAAAGTATTGTATTCGTTCTCAATCTAGAACTTATTTTGCAAAAATGGCTCCCTCTAGTAGTTGAACTGTCAACTATACGCGTGTCGTCCATGTTCCGAATGTGGTGTGACTTATTTTTGTTTTGTGTTAATTTTCAATACAGTAATTTATATGTGAAATGTAACAGCATGTGTAATCCCATATAGTGGAACCTTGCTCCGGCTGAATGGATCCCGCCGTCGCGTGGTATCAGCCCGAGCAGGAAGGACCCGCGAAGCGCCTGTGGCTTCGTATCTGGGAAACTCAAAGTGAAATAGACAAAATGAACCTAAAAAACTTAGAAAATGCTAATCCTAATGTGAATAAAGCTCAAGACTTTATACCAATACACGATGTGAACGGTGAAAGTAGGAACAATAATTATTTCCACCCCGCGCGGAGGAAAATAAACGATAACCGCGCATCAACTTTTAACCTGAATAAAAACCACGATGCTCTAATAGGTGAATACGGAGGGTGTCCGTGGAGGATACCCAATTACCCTTACAAGCCTGGGATTCTCGGGTGAGTAGCGTTTTAATTTGGTATTGGTTATGACGTGAAATGTCAACGTGTTGGTTAGGAGGCGCTGTGACGGTGTGGCAAGCGTGCGAGCCGAGGGCTGACGGAGGCCGCCAGAAGCGTGCTCTGTTCTCACACGTTCACGTGCGCGAATGTACCTGCTGATCTCTGGTCCATACCCTCTGTATCATACTATTCCAGAAAACATATACCTAAGACTTGGTTCATCTCTGTCATAACATTTATTGGCTAATGTGTTGGTTCAAAACAGAAAGGTGCAAATCATTCATTAATAAATTGATAAGAAATAAATATAACAGTATTATTGACAAGCTTGAATGGATACAGAGGGTGTCGATAAATGATATGTTTTTTACCGTAAAGTTAATTGTTATCACAATGTTTTATGTAATTTCAGTATTTACTTATCATCAAGATAACTTTACATACACTGCACCTGCCATAATTAAAATATTTGTAATGTAGTAAACTACTATTTTCAATCTTTATCCACAAAATAAAATAGTTACTATTATTGATACAAAAACCCACTGCTGTAAAACTCAAATGATATAAAATGTTCTAATATTAACTACTAAACTCATGTCGGAATCATAGAATGCACCCATAAGTCAGTAACTGGCATGTCGTCTTGTAGCAACGGTACCATTCACGGTGCACGCTGGACGCCTGCCAGCCTCCCACGCACTCTAAAATACCAGATAGTTCAATGTTTTGGAGCTGTGATACTGTTTTGTCCAATGTCGATTGATATTTCAAGATGAATAACCAAAGTAAATATTATCTTATCTGTTTTTTAACCATTTGAGATAACATTTGGTTACTTTATTTACAGAACTTTGTTTAAGTTGAAGTGTGGATCAATACTTGTTACTATTGTCATTGTTTGTTCAAAAGGTGATTTATCTACCTACCTTTTGTTTCTACCACCAACTTTTTCTCAAATCATTATTATCAAACTTTCACTTGAAACAACATTTCAACATTAGGGCTAATAATGTAATACAGCTACTTTCAGGAATTTATTCTTATGAATTATCATGCTTATTATAAGAGGGTGGTTAAAATTGTTTTGAAATCACTAATTAATGTAAGTAAAGAGGAAAATAGGCCACAAAGTGCTGCAGGGGGTAACCATATTATTGTATGTTGATAAATTAAAATTATCTAAGATTACCTAAGATATAAAAACAGGTATTCAAGTCAGTGTGTGAGTGAGACAGTAAACAACAGCCTGCCCACTGACCCACATAGTGTGTTAGTGACTCACTGCATGTTGCTAATTATTCCATTTTGTCTTCTCACTATTTTTGCTTTCTCTGAAAAATTTATTTGATAAAATCAATTATTTTGTCAAATCAATCATCATCATCAATGGGTAGAGCGTTTTATAAACTTAATTTAATAAGTCAGAGTGGCAGTAAAATACAATTATTGTAATCATAAAAACATTGAAATGCATCTTAATTAAATACATTATTATAGGGTAATTTTAAAGTAATCTAAAAATACTGAACTGATTTAAAAGTCTTAGGCTCAGCTTCACCATCTGATTTATACCGTAAAAATGACAAGAACTGGTAATTTTTGTATGGACTTTGACCTATTTTTTGACATTTGTTAAAGTAAGATGGTGCAACTCAGCCTTATTTAATTTGGAAAGTCAGTAAGGAATTTTTGTCCTGGGAATATTATCTACTCAGGAAGTCCGAAATGTTTGTATGACAGCAGAGCCAAGGTCAAAATATATTTTTTAAAATTCACTCTGCCTGGTTTGTTCATTCAATATTTATTTATGGGTATGACATAATTCAACAGAAAATGTGTTTCTAAAATAATACATTGTGGATCATTTGCACAGGTGTGCGAAATACGTCGTTTCACTGCGCCATTTTGAAGTAATCACGTAAATGTAATCATCCTGCCAAAATGTAATCAATAATTTAATTTCAGTATAATACATTTTTTCACTTGTTTGTCAATTTAAACAGGTGTGCCCATACCTGCTTAGGATGAGATGCTAGCTTTAAATAATAACAGTTAACAGTAGATCCAGCAGGCCCACTCCATGCTGGTTAACAGCTGGCTTTGCTGGCTAAAAACTCACAGCAGTAAAGTGCTAGAATACATTTAAGAATGTGGTCTGGAGCACAGAATCCTATGACCTATCACATCACATCACAAGAGCAAAAGCAGCTCCTTCATCAGTTTCTCCCCCAAAGCACCAATTGCCGTCATTGTCCCTTTATATTGTGTCATCATGACAATGTTCGTGATCCTTCTTATTCGTTACGCTCTTGGCAGAGCGGTCGTGGTCACGTTGAGGCGTTGTTCACATCGGTTGTAGAAGCGGATACAACTCTCCGCACGATCTCCCTCCATCTCTCTCTATTGGCAGACTGTCTGGTGCAGTCACATAAGCCGTCTCCCACTGCTGCTTTCACATGTTCGTGATGCGCTTACGAAAGTCGGCTCCGCGAACTCTGCGGTATATGGGCCTTCTTTCTCCACCTGTATTGTGGCATCATAAAACATGTGTCGATGACATCACTGCGTTATTCCCCGCTAGCAGGACGCTCATGAAAGTTTATGGTTTGAGTGACCCTGGTTACTGTGGGATGTTTACAAATAACAGCCTAATGAAAAAATTAAAACGACATTTTTGAGGCGTTTCTCTTTTGAACTTTTACAAAATTAATATCAGAACTGTGTAGCGATTAAAGGAGGATGTTTATACGCGAGTCTCATTAGTTTAATGCTTTTGGAACAAGCCAACCCAGAATTTTATCAATGAAAAATCCAGCAGTTACATTAAGCCTTGCCGACTGAGTCATGTTAGACGAGTATGGCGGCAGAAAGTCTGCCATTATTGATATACCAACGATAGAAAAAAAAGAGGCAAACACGAAACATACGCATGATTCTTAGTAAACCATAGTTTTACAGTTGTTCAACGCCACATTATTTAATTCCCTATTATCACAGCGGAGATAATAGCATCTACCTATTACGCCATTCACGTTGTGCGCCAGCTAAATAGATAGCAAAACTCGCGAAACTGGACGTAACGTAATAATCAGTCTTATCAATTAACATACCTCACTAAAGCCTTTGCTAAACAGAAAGCGAAACGAAGGATAAGCGATAACGTTGATACTTTGTTTGAGAGATCTTTTATTTGATAAAAAGTGTCTTCTCGTGGCTGTTTAAAATAATAAAGTCGGAAATCATTATAGGCCGCCCGTCTGGTCTTGATAAAAACAGAAATATCAACTAATGGCTGTATTATTATACTCGTAAGAGAATGATTACGCCGAGTGGCTATATGAAAGCAACTACTGCCGTCACGCACAGTGAACATCTACCTGGCTTCTGGGATATGGTGACTGGGATAAAATATGAGCTACTAAAACTAAAGAGAGGGTTAAGAAATTGTCATTATCCATCATCAATAGCAGATGTTTTTTCGATGTTGTCTTATACGTGACGTCTCACCAAGTCGACATGCTTTCCTTCCATTCAGGTAAATAATTAAATAGGTAATGTTATTCAAAAGGCTAGGTCAAAATTCGGCGTCTTGTGGCCTTGATCGTGCAACGCACTCAGAAGTCAGGTCTGATGAACCTTAGTTATGTCATCGGATATGATAGGATCAGTAGGCCATTACGGTATCTGAGAACAATGACGTGTCGTATTCGTATTATATGTCTCCAAATTTTTGAATTTGTAATACCACTTTCTGGTGAACATCAAGTTTCAAGTGTCCAACATCGTTCGCTTCTGATTGCTTGCTGTTTCCTCTTTGAGTAACATTTATAGACCCGTAGGAAAAATAAATTTCTCTCATGAGTACCTAATGTAAGATGTTTTTTAGCGAAAGCTCATTTGGCACCGATGGGCAACGATGAAAGCAAAACGTGAAGTCTTCCTATGTCTGTCCTCTT